CACTACCCCCATACGAGCAAATTTTGTATCTCTATCTGTTCCCTACTGCCAACTCGTCTTGGCCCAGTAGTTTAGTTACTAATACTGACAAAGTCACCACCATACTATGAGACTTCGTGTCAACTTTCGGAACCTTCGGTGACACTGTAAAAATGACTCCACTAGGGAGCGGACAGAGGTTGCCTGCCTCGTGACTCGAAAGAGCTGAGGAACGTAGGACTAACATGATCTAAACTATTAACTTCTAACCAGTTGTGGTGGCTATCTCCATTTGGGGATATGGCAACACGTAGATGAGTAACTTACCAAAAAACTTTGTAAGAGTAAAGAAACATAAGTATTTACTTACCTATTTATGTATTTAGTTATATGTAAAACATTTTCCAGTGTGTTTACTCTGAGACTGACAGCTAATTTCAAAACCCAAAATACAGCACAGTTTGTTGTTATTACAAAACACAAAAGCGCCAGATGATAGAATTGGGCAGGGTCCACAAAAAACAACAACAACAACAACAACAACAACAACAAAAAACAACAGCAAACTCTCCACAATATAACAATATAACAGTGTAAACAATGCTTGCAGCCCACCCCCACCCCCACCCCTCCCACTCTACAACCACCCAAATTTTAATCTGAAACAACAACAGAGGAAGACGTCACAACCAAAGATGACAGAAATTATCTTGAGGATCACCGCCTCGTAGCGTTATCGTAGTTAGATCCTCCTTTGAAATACCCCAGTCAAATCGCTCGTATCCATAGCAACGAAGATAAACATGGTGTATTTACCCACTTCAGCATCTTCCGGGAGTAGCTAATTGTCAGGGACTATTTCAATACTAGCATTAGGCCAATGATTCGTCTCGTAAACATTGTCCTCTTGGCTGTCTATAGAGAGGTCGTTTCTCTAGGAAGTCAATAGGTACGGTAGAATTAGGAGTCACACGTTGATGTCATAGTGGAGACTGTATCGCTGTTGGTTGCTGTTAATGTTGTTGTTGTTGTTGCTGTTGTTGTTGTTATTGATGCTGTTGATGTTGTTGTTGATGTTGTTGTTTCTGATAAATAAAAACCTAAACTTCATTTTTTAAAATCAAATAGTATTTTAGAAAATTACCCACCTGGGCGGGAAAACAAACTTTTCTATTTTTTATGTAAATGCCGTGAACACTAACTGAAGCACTAAAATGTTAATTTTATAACACGACCTCCTCCAAAGACTACTTACTAGATTTTTCCAAAATCAAAAAGTGGTACCATTCTTTTGATCTCCAGCGTATATAGGCGTTTGTAAATGGTCGTTTTTTAGGACAAGCGGGCTAACCCCGATTTCGGGGGTTTCAGAAATCTTGACCTAAACCAAAAGTGGGCATTGCACTACCTATGGGAGAAGCTAGGTTTCATTGGTGTGTATATTTGTTTGATTATAGAAAAAACTCTCCTTGTTTTTAAAAGAAACTGACCAAGGGGCAACAACTTTACCTTCGATTTTCTCAAAACAGCATATTCGGGATAGTCCCTTTGTGCTTAATTGCGAAAAAATCACCTGTAAAAACACGTAAATTGAAGCAGGTAGTTATTTGTGTATTCCGAGTGAGTCCATCCTCTATTGGCAGATTGCCCCAATAAACACTGTTGTTCAAATACCCAACCAACACTTTCCACAGGTGCGTATCATCTCCCGGTGATAAGACCAGCTAACCCGACAAGAGTAAGTTTAACAGAATAATATTATATATATTATA